TGTTGACTGAAGTCACTTATGTACTTAGCCACTAATTAACTTAAGACAAAGCCTTGTAACTGCACAGTAAAGTGGCTATTGGAAATGCGTTTTTTTAGCAAATTCTTCTTTATTTTCTATACCGGTGCTTACAAACGACATTTTGTTCAAAAAGGAGATCTTCTAAATGTTAACGAATGTTTATACAATGGTATCTAGGGGACTACACGGTACTCGGATAGAAAATCACTCATTGCTGCTCAGTATTTCAAACCGCACTGATGAAATCTCTTCGCCTTTCAAAAAGAGAGTAAACAGTAAAATATAGACTTCAGTATAAGGCAAAATATTTCGCAAAATTCGGCACTCCACTCATTACCACTTCCGCAATTCTTCTTGTCTTCTTTAGTTGTTCGACTACTCTTCTTTCACTTTTCTACAATGCTTAAGCCTCTTATACAACAAAAGAAGAATATTTCTGTTTTATCAACTGAATAAAGATTAAAAAAACTGAAACGAAAACAAACCCGTAATAAGAAAATTAAAAAACATAGGACTGTAGGACGGTTATAAGTCACGACTGTAAGACGATCATTACCAGTTGTGACCAAGTTTACTTGAGAAAATCCAAAAGATTTTTTCTCTGCTTATTATCACAAAGTTCTACTTTCTATTAAAGATAGACAAGTACAGATGATAATGTAGTAAAGTTAAAGAAATCTTTGGCGACCAGAATAAAGTTAACAGTGCTTCACTACATTCATTTCACTGAACGGATTGGTTTTGTTGCAATATTTACTGCCATTACAGAACCGCTTAATTAGACAACCTTTCAACACCTAAACAAACCTTTTGTTTTAGCGCTTTTCTACCACCAGCGCTTCGTTCAAATTTTATTTCAATAATGTTATTTCAGTTTTATGTGTAAATTGTATGTTAAATTGATTTTTAAGCCGAATTTACTTCACTGCACCTCTTCCATAACTCTACTATCATCGCCATCTGAATTTGAACTCTTTTGAGCTCTGTAAAAAAATTCTACAAAAACTAATCTTTATTTTAAAAAGTCTGAGCTACAACATTCTCAGTTCATTTCAAAATTAATATTTTTAGTATTTTATGCCTTAGAGATAGAAATTTAAGCTTTCAGAAGACTTTAAAAAATCAAATTTTTTATGTTTTTCAAAGTAATTTTCGTAAATATCTAAGCCTGTAGAGGATAAAAAAAATTACAAACATTCAAAGCTGGCTGGTAATTGCATCTCGGCTCGAAATAACATACAGCAATCAAGGCAGTTTGGCAGAACACCTGGAAGTAACGACTAAATTACTAATAGGCTATTCACTAATATAACGATTGTTTACTTCTTTTCTCACTATGAAAACTTTTTAAGCTGTTTCAATGCGAGCTTGTTAAGCGTCATTTCCTAGAAGATTCTGCATGGTCGTAGCGTTTTAAGATGACTTTCATTACTGCTTTGACTAATCTTATGTTGTTTTTAAACAAATAGTAAAGTGTGACGGTTTGGTATTTTTAAACAAAGAACTGCGAATCTCTTTGTAGTATGGTATTCGTGTTACCCGCGATGAGGCCAGGAAGACATGTGAAGCAATGAATTCGACACTGGTCACATATTTATCTGAAGGTGAAAATTTGGTAGCAAGAGGTAATACATGAATGAAACTCAAGTTCGTAATGCCAAAACTTGATAAGTAGCAGTAAAATCAGTTAGGTGAAAAAAAGTCAGCTTTTTTTAGCAGTTGGAAATTCCGGTGATTTCTGGATTGGTTTAAAGAAAACAGATGGTGAATGGCAGTGGGATGATGGATATCCTCTAATATATCAAAACTGGTTGAATGATAATGTAACAAATCTTAAGCGAAAGAAACTTGACTGCGTCCAGGACAAGTTTTATAAGATTTGGGTTGATAGACCATGCTCAGAGAAAGCTTCCTTTATCTGCCAGTATGAAGGTATGTTTCTTAGCAAAGTTTGCTCTAATCATCCTTTGCCTGCACGTTTGTTAAAATAGTGCCGTCCAAGCACAGTGTCATTTTACACTCACCTCATCCGGAAAGTTAGATTAAATATTTAAGACAAGGTTAATGTTCAAGCGAAAGGCAAGAGGCGCTGGTTTAGTTTGGTGGGCCCAAATTATTTTTCCTCTCCAGTGGGAGGGGCCTACGACGGAAAATGTACTACTTACAGCCAATCAACGATATGGGGCCACCAGACTAAACCAGAGCCGAGGCAATAGGAAAGTTTCGGAATTTTGTAATTTCTCTTGCTTCCAAAAAAATGTAATTGTTGAATGTTTGAGATGCACTATTTACATACATCGCTTACTTTGAAAACCGGAAAGCAATTTCGCGTTATACGTCATTTGCTTGTTATTGGGTTTTACGATGTGGAGAATAACATTAGAAGATGAAATGAAGATTGACAAAAACGGTTCAAAAAATTATACTGCTTTAGTAGGGCACCGTCACTTCGAAAATAAGTAAAAGTTTTTGACGACAAATTTCTTGAAGTTGCTAAGAAAACATTGGAGGGCAGTTAGGCTTGTTAAAATAAGACAGTAAAAATAATAAGCAATGCTTTTCGGTAGCGTTGTGTCGTGTCCTATACGATTAACCAGTACCAAACAGAAATTGAAGGAATTCCTCAATGAGTGAGAAAATGAATTCCGTTAATAAAAATCGACGCGTTATTCACGTGAGGAAAATAGAGAAAAGATGGAAGAGAAAACTATCAGTGATCCCCTACCAGAATTATATGTGAAGGAAATGAATTTCCCAGCATCCCCCAAAAATTAAGACCCTTTTAACAACCATTCATAAACGTTTGGCTGCAGAATTACAGTGAGAATTACACGTTCTACAAGTAAATTAGCTATAATGACATCAGTAAAAATTTCTTAGAAACATGTATAGCAATGTTCCTTTCTCTGCTTTTCTTCTTAAATAAATGTACAGCGCCACTTTTGGTAAATCGAGTTAGCGATGGCAACAAAATTTTTGAAATATTATCCCAGTGATAAATGGTAATAAACAAAAGTACCTCAATGGCTGGTCACGAAAGACGAGTCAAAAATAAGATTTTGGAGTTAAGAAAAAATACGATATATGAGAATCACCTAGAAACTCATATACCACTATCAAAATCTGTAACAACTTAACACTCCCACAGATTGCTTCGCTCTCTTATTCGTTACCCACAGTAACAGATCAATTACGTACAAAACCTTCCTCATTCTCGTTCTTTTTTTTGCCTGCAAAGCGTGTTTCCAACCCCCAATTAAGCTAGCCAGCGCACTGTTGCTAGGGATTTATACTAGTTCCGAATTTGATACATTATATATCTCTCGTGTAACACCTTAATACATCTACTTGCCATACTTTAGTTTAACCAACTTCTTGCAATCTAATAACGACTTACACGACAAGATACAATCAGTTTCGAAAAAAAGTACTTAATTAAAGTATTTTTAGCGCAGTTTACCTGTCCTGAAGGATGGAGGGAATATAATGGAGATTGCTATATTTTTGTAAGTGTTTAAGAATCTGAAATTTTTCAGGTTTTTGGTGCTTCAAAGCTCTTTTTGACTAAAGCAGTATTTACTAGATTAATTCATTTTTAACTTTGACTTCTTTTAGTGCAACATTTGTGAGATCTCTAATTTAACGGCTTTTAAAGTTACAAAAAACTTTCTTCTGCGACACGGCATTGTCAAGTTTACTGTCACTTCCTTTCAGCTGACCGAAGTGAAAACGAAATGCTCCTTTTTCCCCCTCCTATTACAATTTCTTTAGTTAAGGTTGCGTAAAGAGGATAAACTTGTCAGTAGCTTTGTAAATCACCTAAAATAGCGAACTTAATCCCAAGTGAAATACAGTTTTTGCTATGATAGCATCGACACTGGAAGATGACACCTTTGGCAACTTGATAGGTAAATGATACTAGGCCAGAAATAAGCGAAATACTTCATCAAATGAAAAATCAACGAAAACCGCTACACTTTCTAAGGAAGCCATCAGAGAATCATTGTTGCTTATCTTCCATTATTCAACAAAATTTTTTGTTTCACTTGCTACTTAAACACAAGATGTGTCATGTAATGTCCCATTACTGAATTTCCTACACTCTCTACAGAACGGTATCGCTATTTGAGCTCTGCTTTACCAGTCATACATGCCTCTCACCCCTTACACTAAAGCTCTTCCCCACTGCCTTTAATTTTTTAAAAATTGCTCTCTATTTATTTCGTCTTTTGTGGCTAATTAATCACAGGATTAGTTTCTTTTAGTAAATTGCTATTCAAATAACTACTTAGAAAATTCTAGGAACGTACTGCTATAGCTCTGCCAGAAGCAGAAAAATATTGTGCACTTAATGGGGCAGAAGTAACAGATGTAGTTTCGAAAGAAGAACGATTGTTTTTAAAAGGTAACTTTATGTGCCTACAGACTGGGAAAACGTGAAAGTTCCAAGTGATTAAAGTTTACTGTTCAGTAAAGACAATTTATAGAAGTATCTGAGCAGAATCCTCATTGGGTGCAGTTCAGGACGCAGGGCGGTAATCAGAAAAATGCAAAGCGGTTGGACAATAGAAGATCAGAAAATGATTCTTTGACTGAAAATAACAGGGAAATCAAACACGTAATAGCTACCTCAGAAGGTTGGAAAATTCCACATAAATATACGCTTACTGCAGCAGTGATTTGTAAATACAAAAGTAAGCTTTTAAACTGTTCAAATAATTTTTCTCAAAGATATTTATCTAAACATTCTTAGCAAGCGCAGTCCAGGCAAATTATTTTGACGCTGTGATACAACCCTTTTTTTTGCTTTTTTACAAAGAATTTCTATACGATATTAACATGTATCTTACAGATTGACAAATGAAGCAGCATCAAAAACGTACAAAAAAAATCCTTTTAAATTTCTAAAAAAAAATTCAAATGTTTTTTGGCTCAAATTTTAGTGTTAACCTACACAAATTTACAACTTATTTCTGCTTAATCACCAAGCATTTAATAATGGCAGAATATCTTCCTTCTGATTTGATTTTTTAAAGTCGCTTATTCATCCCTGTGACGAACTTCTAGCCAAAAATGAGAATTTTCTAAAGCACCGCAGTTCCGCTTCTCCTAGCAGTGAAAAAATTAATCATTTTATGCAGTTCTTCAAATTTTCTGACACGTTATAGGTGGTCATCTGCCTTCTGGTGAGACACAACTCTAGTCTTTAGCAGCAAAATTAGACATTATTCAAGAAAAACTTATAATTCTACTCTATAATTCAAAATATTTTTCACAAGCGTTCTCTACAACTATATAAGCAGATAGTCCAGACCTTTAGCTTTTTGCGCATCTTACTTCCTTCCTAGCATGATGCGTAAGTATGAATGCCAAGGTTAAGAGATCAAGCAAGAAATAATTTTCCTTTGTGGTTTTTGCCGAAATATTAAATTTGAGTTCTCGTATTATAAGTACCTCGTTTTTGGTGATTTATTTCAAACTTCTTCGTGTTTATTTAATCTTTTTTACTGCGCCACAATTTATTGCGTCTTCCAGAACAAATTTTTCTAGAAGGTATAAGTTGCAGTAAAAATTCAAAGCTTTTGATTCAAAGTTCCCTAGTGTCAATGCAGTACGGCACCTCTACATGAACTATAATCAATAAGATGACACCAGATACAGCAATCATGTAGACAACCGTGTTGATCAAAAATATCTACTGCTTGAGAAATAAAAATCCCGTCACTATAAGCAGTTTCATCTGCACAAATTCACTGTTACCCAAAAATCCTTTAAACTTTGGCTGTTTTGTGTTATGCATTTTGAAACTAGTCAACACTTTTCTCTGTAGCAACAAACGCTCTTCTAATTCTTCCATTCGACGAAAAAAACGGCTCCAATGCAAGAGTAATTCTTAGCTAGAAAGTGCATGATGATGCAATGGGCCTATAATGAAACGCCATGGAAGAGTGCTTTTTTTGCTGTCTCAAACTACCACTCCGCCCAATACCTCTGAATCTAGAATTTCTTCACTTTAAAAGTTATTTCTGCATAATTTTCCGTAAAAAAGAATAAAAACCGCTCCTAATAAAGGATTTAAAAGGAAAATAAGCTTTCCTTCCTAACAACTATAACAGCACATTC